TTTGAAGGAGAAAACTGAAGTGACTTTGTGGATGTTTATGGAGAGCTCCTTGCAAGGGAGAGGCAGGCCCAGCTGGATGGGGAATACCTGGCGATGTTTCTTTTGTTTAATTCTGATCAGATCCCCAAAGCCTCCACCTTGCAGGGTTTTCCAGCAGGCGGCGAGATTGAGATTGTTTGGGGGTGGAAGGAGCCGCTTTCAGTTATGAGCATTTTGTACAGCTCTGAGGGTTTGTTAAAGTGATGGGGTGTTTATGCCTGAGGGAGAAATCACAAAAGACCTTGCTGGGAACACTGAGGGCCTGATTCATCCCTGCAGTACGCGTGTGTGCCCAAGGGACTTACACCAGCATTCAAATGCAGTAATGCAGTGGGGAATCAAGCCCTGAACCTTTCACTTTTAACACAGACACGATTTTCCATTAGTTCCATCAGTCGTTGGGAGTTGCTTTTATTCTCTTCCTTTGGACGCCCCAAGCCCTAGCTAGCCAGGGCCTCATGCTGAGCTCTGTTACATTGAGACAAATCTGTGTAGTCTGTGGAGTTACTCAAGATGAGACTCTAATCCCATGGCATAGAAAATCCCACAAGCCTCAGAGACCCGTTGCAATTTCTAGGGACATCCCAGTAGGTTTGGGGATGGAGTTTCCAGATGATTCTCTGTATTTGTGAATTTAAGCAAGACTTGTAATATTATAGCTATCAGTGTTGTTGGGTTTTTCCATGTTGGGGTCAGAAATGAACCAAGCCCAGCAAGGGGATTTCTTGTTAAACGTCTCTGTTGGCTTTGCTCAGATTTCATTTCTCTCTTTCTTTTAAAAGAGAGCCTAGAGCTTCTGAACAGCGTGCACTGATTTGCTGTGTGTGCCCTCTGGTGGCCACAGCTTTCCGTGACTTGTTCCGTGAGTCACTAGCTTGTTGATTTGTCTCAGCAAAGGAACAACTGAAAATCCATTCGCAGTCCTTCTAATTAACCCCATTTGTTTCTCTGCGTGGTTTAGTTTTAAAAAGCCTCCACATCTAGGGGAAAGTTAGTGTGACTTTCTCTACATTTCCTTTCCCCACTGTAGCTGATTATATTTAGGTTTAAACAGAAGAATGCTCCTTTATTTGTTTTGCTTCCTGTAAAAGGGCCCCACCCTCTTCTCGCTGCCCTGAAGTCCTTATTTCCAAGCTCTTCAGTTTCCTTGCCTGAGGTTTGCAGTCATGGTCCTCATCCTTTCAGATGAGGAAGGCTAGACAGGGCTTCCTTCCAGCCTGTTGACACTACCCTTGAGTCAGCCAGAGGAGTTGCTGCCTGGTGACATAAGATACAACCTGTCTTCCCAGGAGACCTTCCAGCATCTGCAAGCCTAGAGAACGAAAGCCTCAGGGCCACCCGGGGGGGGCAAGTGGGGCAATTTGCCCCGGGCCCCGCAGGGTACCCCACCAGAATGCTCCGGCCCCGCCTCCGCCTTCCCCCGGTGCTTCAGCGCGCCGCGTCCAGGAGCGGCCCTGGACAGAGCTAAAGAGGTGTGGCTCGGGTGGGGCCTGAGCTCTGCCCCGCTCAGAGCCGCATGGTAAGGGGACAGGGCTGCGAGCTCCGGTCCCACCGGAGCCATGCCGCTGCAGCGCTGTCCAGGGGCCAGGACAGCTCCTGGACGCGGTGCGCTGAGGCTCTGAGAGAGGGGAGAGGTGGGGGTAACTCAGGAGCGGCCCTGGACAGCGCTGCAGCAGCGTGGTTCGGGCGGGGCCTCAGCTCCTGCTGCTCAGAGCCGCGTGGTAAGGGGGCGGGGCTGCGAGCTCTGGCGGGCCGAGTGGCAGGAGCTCAGGCCCCACTGGAGCCATGCCGCTGCAGTGCTGTCCAGGGCCGCTCCTGGAGGTGGCACGCTGAGCCCCCGGGAGAGAGGGGAGGTGGGGGTAAGCAGCATGGTAAGGGGCCAGGGCCGGGGGGGTTGGATAAGGGGCAGGGAGTCCCAGGGACAGGGAGGCAACAGGGAGGGGACAGAGGTTCTGGGGGAGATCTGTCAGGGATCTGTCAGGACTCGGCGGGGTGGGGGGTGGATAGGGGTCGGAGCAGTCAGGGGACAGGGAACAGGGGAGGTTGGTGGGGGGTGGGGTCCCGGGGTGGTGGCTGGGGAGGGGGTCTTGGGGGGGGGCAGTGAGAGGACAAGGAGCAGGATGGGTCAGGGATTCTGAGGGAGACAGTTGGGGGGCAGGAAGTTGATGGGGGTCGGATAGGGGGCAGGGCCAGGCTGTTTGGGGAGGCACAGCCTTCCCTACCCTAAAGCTCATTCAGCAGTTTGAGGCTTGCAGACAGCTATTTAACACAAAGAGCCAAGCTGTTATCTTTTCCATGGGGGAGGGCAGGGCCGGCTCCAGGGTTTTGGCCGCCCCAAGCAGCCCCCAAAAAAAAAAAAAAAGCCGCGATCGCGATCTGCGGCGGCAGGTCCTTCGCTCCGAGCAGGAGTGAGGGACCATCCGCCGAATTGCCGTCGAATAGCTGGACATGCCGCCCCTCTCTGGAGTGGCCGCCCCAAGCACCTGCTTGCCAGGCTGGTGCCTGGAGCCGGCCCTGGGGGAGGGATCACATGAGAAGAGCAATATCCTACACCACCTACCTCCCAACCCTACCAAGGGAGACCCCCTCCACTGCATTCCCTGAGGCTCCAGAGGGATTAATTCAGTGGTTCTCAAACTTTTGTACCGGTGACCCCTTTCACATAGCAAACCTCTGAGTGTGACCCCCCCCCCCCCCCCCC